AGCCATCACGTTAAAGATACAGGAATCGACTCAGAGTCTTCAGCACAGAAGACTTGGCATGCAGTGTCCAAGCAGCGAGTTGCTGCTGTTGTTACTGACAAGGGTGAGTGTTAGATCCTCCCTGACACAAAAGGAAACTGAGGCCGGTGACACCCTGGAGCCTCCCCGCTGCGTCTAATGCTGCCTAAAAGAGCTTTCTAATCTAAGGATTAGAAAGACAGCCAGGGGCCGGGAGCGGTGGCTCACGCCTATAATCCTAAAACTTTGGGAAGCAGAGGTGGGCGATCATGAGGTCAGGAGATCAAGACCATCCTGGCTAACACAGTGAAACCCCATCTCTACCAAAAATACAAAAAATTAGCCGGGCATGGTGGTGGGTGCCTGTAATCCCAGCTACTTGGTAGGCTGTGGCAGGAGAATCGCTTGAACCGGGGAGGCAGAGGTTGCAGTGAGCTGAGATCGTGCCACTGCACTCCAGACTGGCGACAGAGCGAGACTCCATCTTAAAAAAAAGAAAGGAAGAAAGAAAGAAAGACAGGCAGGGCGGAGAGGGGCTGAGCTGGGCATCCGGCCCTAGGATGCCCTTTCTGCCGGCCTCTGTAGGTGAATCCTCCTCACTGGTGTCTTCATGTATCTCCAGAACGAGCTAGCACTTGGGGACGGAGTATCGTCATATGTGATGCCGGTGGCTGTAAGGGAATCTGAGACTGACCTTCCCTGTGGCTGACTTATATTCTCCGGACTGCAGATTTTCTAATATAAATAAGAGTAGACAGTTGGCGCTCTGTATCCACAGGTTGCCCATCCTCGGATTTAACTAACCTCATGTTGAACATACTCAAAATAGTAACAATAAAGAGTACAATAAAAATCACACAGCCAGGCCAGGCTGGTGGCTGGCGCCTGTATCCCAGCACTTTGGGAGGCTGAGGCGGGCAGATCATGAGATCAGGAGTTCGAGATCAGCCTGACCAACATATTGAAACCCTGTCTCTACTAAAAATACAAAAAAAAATTAGCTGGGAGTGGTGGCACACACCTGTAATCCCAGCTACCCAGGAGGCTGAGGCAGCAGAATTGCTTGAATCTAGGAGGCAGAAGTTGCAGTGAGCTAAGATCATATCACTGCACCCCAGCCTGGGCAACAGAGCGAGACTCCATCTCAAAAAAAAAAGAAAAAAAGAAAAGAAAAAAATAATACAACTTTAACAACACAGTATAACAACGATTTCTACAGCATTTACATTGCATCAGGTATTATAAGGAATCTCGGGATCATTTGAGGTGTACACAGGGATGTGTGTAGGGTACACGCAAACTCTACACCATCCCCGGGTTTTGACATCCGAGGGGCATCCTGGAACCAATCCTCAGCAGACACGGGGGGACTGTACGTTGTTCCATGTCACCTGTGAGGTTGAACTACCAGAAGTACCTTTTGCAACAGTCACCTGCTCTCTGGTGGCTGCCCACAGGAGGGTGGTGACTGTGAGAGAGGCTGTCCTGGCCGCCAGGGGTCTTGCTGTTCAGGGTCTGCTGGGGACCCTGCGTCCACCTCATTTGACGGGGTCCCCGGGCCCCGCAGCATGAGGGACCCCTGCCCTGCCCCGACACTGCACAAGGAAGGAAGCCAGGTGATTTGACTCTTGACCGGGTGGAAACTGTGCCTGCCCCACTCCACTGCCCACAGCCCGTGGCCCATTGCCCACTGCCCTGGGTCCTGGGAGTGCTGGTGTGAGGACAGTCTCAGCGTATTCTAGAAAGAAGAGCGCCTTACCTTTCCCAAAGCCCCTGTCTCTCTGGTGGGTGCTCATGGCAGCCTGGTGCCGGCTGGGTAGGTCATGTTTGCTGCAAATTAAGACTTTTGTGATTGAGTCACAGGTTTTTTTTTTCTCCCTGTGGAGCCTTGAATCTCAGACTCGAAAGAGATACTAGGATTTTAAGACTTTATTTCTTAGAGCAGTTTTGGTTCACACAAAATTGGGAGGAAGGGCCAGAGATTTCCCACACAGACCTCTCTGCACTCACAGCCTCCTGTGCTGCCAGCATCTCCCCAGGGCAGCGCGTCTGCCCGCTGAGGAGCCCGGGTGACCGGGGTCTCACAGGCTGGGGTTGGGTAGGCGTGGGGCACTCTCCTGCTGTGGCGCATCCTCTGGGTTTGCACAAATGTGAAATGTCAGGTGTCTGTCACCTTCAGGTGTCATAGAGAAGAGCCTCCCTGTCCTGAAAGTCCTGTGCTCCGCCTGCTCCTCCTCCTCCCCCTCGAAGGCTGACCCATGGCACCAGCCACTGGCGTCATGGCGGAGCCCCGTCAGCGTGTCACATGGCACAGCCACACCGCATGCGCCTTCTCGGGGTGGCTTTCGGCACTTGCTCTGCGTCTGAGCTTCCTCCAGTTTCCTCAGTTTCCAGCACTGAATCACATCCCACGGTCTGGTCCCTCAGGCAGGAAAACAAGGCCTGAGCCGGGGGTGACCTGCGCAGGGACACAGTCAGCCCTGGGCCCTGGAGCCGGCAGCCGGGTGAGGACCTTGGGGGAATCACGGCACCTCAAGGCCTCAGCTCCAAATCGTGCCGCGTGGAGCCAGGGGACTCCTACACTGACACTGCAGGCTGTGAGCCCTGCTGAGACCGGCAGGGTCCCCACTGCCGTAGGGTCCTCTTGATGAGGGTAGGCAAACCCCAAGATGGGCCTTAGCCTGGGAGGTTCTGGGCTTCACCAAGGAAAGAATTCAGGGGCAAGCCAGTGGCATTAGGCAGCAGCTCTTACGGAAGCGTCGGTGCCCAGCAGCAGCAGAGGCACAGCTCCGGGCAGAGCCGGGCTCCCCACAGGCCACGCGAGCAGCAGCTCAGAGGCAGGCTCACTCACACCCACACCCACTTCTACTTACACGGAAACTGCAGGGGAGATTATGCAGCTGTTTTTAGAAAAGGGTGGTAACTCTGGGGTGGTCAGGTTGTTGCCACGGAAAGGGGCGGTACCTCCCAGTGTTGCCATGGCAATGGAAAACTCACCTGCAGGCTGGTGGGCTTGTCTCATGGGAAGCCGCTTTCCCTGTCCCTGTTTTAGTTGGTGCTCAATTTGGTCCAGTATCGGAGTCCCACTCCCTCACCGCGTCAACTCCTCCCTCCTACCTGACTCTGAGCCACCAGGCTGCCACGGATGGGGTGGCTTAAACCACACACGATTGTGTCACTTCCGGAGGCTGGAATCCAAGGCCAAGGTGCCTCACAGCTGATCCCTCCCAAGGCCTCTCCCCTGGGCCTGCCAACAGCTGCTCCCCTGTGTGGTCACATGGCTGTCCCTCTGTGTGTGCCCCTCTGGGTGCAGGCTCCATTTCTCTGTGAGGATCCGATCTGCCTGGATGAAGGCCCACCCACATGACTTCATTTCCACTCAACAACTTCTTCCGTAAAAGCCCTCTCTCAAAACACAGGAACTGAGGTGCTAGGTCAGGACTTGTGCATATGCCTCTGGGGAGCGTGATTCCGCTCATAGCAAGGTCAACGCCAGGTCCTCTGCTCAGCCTGGAACACAGTGAGCTCCCTGGACTCCCATGTCCCCCAACACACCTCGCCTCTCAGGACCATCGGGCCCCGACCGTGAGGGCGACAGGCTGGGCAGAGCCTGGGCTGACCTCGGTGGCCCTGAAAGGCCATGTTCAGGTGAGCCCTGCCCGTCACCCCAGGCCCCCCGGTAGCCTCCCCAGGCATTGCCAGCCCCAGCCCCAGCCCTGTCTCCACCTGGGGACCCTGACATAGGAGCCCAGGACGATGTTTCAGGTTTTGCTGGTTGGCTTATCACCAGGGAGGTGTCTGTGAGGTGGCAGCCATAACTGGAGCGGTCGGTGGCCACAGAATAAGGTGAAAGTTTTGAGAATAGCCTGCACGGCCGGCCTGGTCCCACGGCACCCACTGCTGTGGTCAGCAGCAGCCCAGGCTCCTGCGGGTGGTGACTTCCCTCTCGAGTTTATTTTGGGGACGTGCAGGTCACCTCAGTCCTAGGCCCTGGCCTCCACAGCAGCAGAGGGTGCTTCTGTTATTTTCCTCTCTAGGATAATTGTTTAACTTTTCCAGGCTATAAAGAAACACATGGTGGTAAATATTTTTAAAAACATAGAAACACATAATTTAGAAAGAAGCATCTCTTGTAGTTTCCAGGGAAACCAGGTTAACAGATAAAGCTGGGGTAGTTGACTCGAAGCTGATCAGTCGGTGCTGGATTAGAGACGTGTCTATTTTTACTGATTGACTGAGGCAGGGCCTCACTGCCCTCACCCACCCTGGAGTGCAGCGGCACGTTCACAGCTCACTGCAGCCTTGAACTCCCAGGTTCAAGTAGTCTTGCTGCCTCGGCCTCCGGAGGCTGTAACTACAGGCATGCCCCAGCACACCCAGCCAATGTTTCTTTCTGTGGTGATGAGGTCTCATGTTGTCCAGGCTGGTCTTGAATTCCTGGCCTCAGGCAATCCTCCTCCCTTGGCCTCCCAAATCGCTGAGATGACCAGCTTGAGCCGCCACATCCAACCCCGACAGCTCTAGTTTGTAAGCGATTTACTCCGCGGCTGAGAGGGCGCCTCGGTTGCAGAGGAAGGGGGTGGGGATAGATGTTGCTACATTGCTTTCCCAAAGGGCATGCCCGGAGCATTGCCAGTTTTGAACATTCCTGCACATTGGAAAACCGTTTTAGTAAATTTGACACCTGTTCGCGTGTGACGATGCTTGTTGCACTGTCAGCTTAGGAAAGCCCCGTCCGCGGCATTAGCTGGAGGAGAGCCCCGCCCGCGGCATCAGCTGGAGGAGAGCCTGGTCCACGGCATCAGCTGGAGGAGAGCCCCGTCCGCAGCATCAGCTGGAGGAGAGCCTGGTCCGCCCGCGGCATCAGCTGGAGGTGGCTTTCAGCTGCGCGTCTCCTCTGGAAGCCACACTGGGGTTTGCACAGACAGTGACACCTGGGAAGTGTGGTGACCGCTCTGATGAAGCCTTTGTTTTGTTTTCAGACAATGAGTATCTATTTATGGATCTGGAGCAAAAGCTCAGCAAGTACTTCCCAAAAGACTGGAAGAGAGAAATGTATCAAGTAAGTTTGGAGCATCGGGTGGGAGAGGCAGGGCACCGTGGTGGGGTGTGCTCAGCCACGGGGACGTGTGGGGTGGGAGAAGGAACCGTGGTGGGCTGTGCTGCACCGCAGGGATGTGTGGCATGGGAGAGAGCACCGTGGTGGGGTGTGCTGGGCCATGGGGATGTGCTGCGTCATGTCCATGCACCTGCTCCATCCAGAGGGGCCATGTGCAGGGGGACTGCTGTGAGCCCCGAGGGTGCAGGCAGGTGAGCCCACGCTGATCCCGCCTGAGCTTCGGCTTTGAGCTGGGCGTGAAGCAATCCCAGTCCCCCGACACTGGGAAGACAGGACAGCGGGGGCACCTCGCTGTGGCTCACGAGTTTTCTTGTATTTTCTTCACCAGGGAAGCAAGAAATGCAGAGCGCCCTTCGTGGCCTTCCTCCGAGTGCGGCACTACGTGGAAAACGGAAGGAGGTGACCGCGCTGACTTGCTTTCCTGGAATGTTGAAAATCTGCCATGTGAACAGAAGTCCTATGAAGGCCACACAATACATTTGAGTTTATACTAAAAAACAAAAACAAATACAAACAACCCACTCTATTGGCTGTTTAGGGGAGCACAGGAATTCCATTTAATTGAAATGCATACAGACTGTGTCATAAAGTGGCACTTCTTCAAACGCGGGACTTGTCCTCTGTAGGGTGGGGATGCCATATGCAGGCCTCGGGTGAGGCTTCTGGAGGCTGCTGGGTGGAGGGCTCCTTGATGGCAGTAAGTCACCTGTGCCCCGCTCCAGGGAGAGTGTGGGCCTGTGTCAAGCTGGCCCTGCAGGGACACGGCTGTGGATGTCACAAGACAGGAACAAGGTGCCAGGGGCTCAGATCGACCCCAGGAGCTGGCATGGGGAGGGACAAGGCAGGGCCACAGGGGCTGACAGTCCCCACACTCACTCCCTGCTGCCTTCCAGCGACCCCCGGGCACAGCACCTGTACTACTGCCACCTGAAGGAGCATGTGCTGCGGTCCCAGTGCGCCCACCAGGAGGAGGCCTACTTCCTGCTGGCCACCTGTGCGCTGCAGGCTGACCTGGGCGAGCACTGGGCACCGGCCCATGCCGGGAGGTACTTTGAGCCGCACTCCTACTTCCCACAGTGGGTAAGGTCGGGGCCACAGCCTCCCAGCACTGCTAGCCTGGCGCTGACCACCTCCCCCGGGTCCATCCACAGGAACAGGGGCTGGGGGCCTGGCAGGGGCAGCTGGAGGAAGGGCCAGGGCATGGAAACGGGGAAGCCATCTGTCCTTTCCTCCTGAAGGCCCAAGGGGCCTGCCCATCCCCAAAGCCGGCGGTGTGGGAGGGCTGGCCGGGAGCAGGCTGGTCCGGATGCCTGTGCCCCCAGCCAGCTGTGTGGCCTTGCTCGCGTGGCTTCACCTCTCTGAGCCCTCGGCTGCCTGGCTGTGGAATCTGCCTCCCCAAGTATCCGGTGACCCATAGGAGCCTCTGAGCCTTGGCTTCTTCGCCTGTAAAGGAATCGGTGCCATTCCCGGGAGGAGGGGGCCTGATGGCCGTGCGGGTGGATGGCCGTCACTCCAGGAATGCAGGCTGGTGCCGGTGAACTCGGAGGTTTCTCTCCTTGACGGTTCATCGCAGCGCACCTCTCCTCTGTCCTGGGCACCTTGGGGCCTTCTCCTGTTTGCTCTGAATGGAGATCGCTGAGGCCAGCGTGGGGCTCAGCCAGGCTTCCTCCAGGCATTGTGGACGTCACATATGCCCCTGGCCTCTGGCACACTTGCACGCTCCTTGATTGCATGTCTCAGGATCTGACCCCAGTGTCAGGTGGTGGGCGCAGCTGATCCTCGTTGGGCAAGTTCCCAGGAGCCAGGCCTCGTCGGGTGTGGAGTGCCCCTGCAGACATCTGAGGAGGGCTGGCTGTTGCCATTCGCCCTGAGGGGGACCCAGGCGGGACAGGGAGTCAGACAGGCCAAGAGTAGAGTGGGCACCAAGACTTCATCCTTGGGTCCAGGCTCAACAGCCAGGCCCTGGCCCTGCCCGCTGAGGTCGGCACCAGCTGCAGGAGGCTGGGGAGGCTTCTCAGAGCAGGCAACCGGCGAGGAGGAAAGCAGGCCAGCAGAGGTCTGAGCTCACCTCCCAGCAGGCTGGGGAGGCTTCTTGGAGCAGGGGTCTGGCGAGGAGGAAGGAGGGCCATTGGGGGTCTGAACTCACCTCCCAGCTCTGTCCTCAGGTCATCACCAAGAGGGGGATTGACTACATCTTCCGGCATATGCCTGCCCTGCTCCACAAGCGCCAGGGCCTGAGCCTCAAGCAGGCCATGCTGCGCTTCATCCAAGAGGCTGCCGGCTGGAGGACGTGCCCATGCACTTCTTCAGGCTGTACAAGGTTGAGTGCAGGGCGGCCAGTGACAGGGCTGGACTCTGACTCCAGGTCAGGGACGGATGGAGCCCCTCAAGATGACAGTGGGATCAGGATCCCAGACCAGGGATGGATGGAGCCCCTCAAGCTGAGAGTGGGATCAGAGCCTCAGGCCAGAGGGTTGGATGGAGCCCTCCCAAGCTGACAGTGGGATCAGGACCCCATGCCAGGGATGGACGGAGCCCCCATGGCTAACAGTGGGAACCAGGACCCCAGGGCAGGCGTGGCCAGAGCCCCCCAAGCTGACAGTGTCACCAGGACCCCAGGGCCGGCTTGGAAGGGCTCTCTTAGGTCACAGCTGATGTTTGTTTAGCCTGATCAAAGGCATGCTTGTGCTGACAGGGTGGTTTGGTCTGATACTGGAGTGAATGAGACTCTAAATGGGCCCGAGCTCAGCCTGCTCCATGGAGGCCTTGGCCCCTGGGCAGACTGAGCACACTCCGCCATCAGTGAGACCCAGCACCCCCAGGCCCGGGCCTTGACCTCTGACCTTTAGGATAAGGAGGAAGTTTGCTCCACCGTGATCCTGGGACTGACCCTCAGGGGAGTGCACATCTACCAGGTGACGGGAGGGGCTCCAGCCTCACAGAGCCCCTGCTCCTACCCCCACCCCTTCTCCCTTCCCCATGGGGGGCTGGGCTGTGTAGCCTCCCTGCGGCGGTCACGGGCGCTGGCTGGCCCCACCTGGACGCCCGGCCCCTGCTGTCCTGCAGGAGGTGAACCGAGTTCCACAGCTGCTGTACGACTTCCCCCGGCCCCACGTCGGGAAGCTGGCGTTTCTGGTGGGTGTCTGGGGGGGTCTCCATGCCCTGGAGAGTGTGGGCCATGCAGCTTCATCTTGAGGGCATTTCCCGGTCATTTTATCCCCACGAGGTGCAGGTTGCTTCCTGCCAGCCCCTCAGTGCCGCAAGACCCCACCTCTTCGGGCCATCAGGCTGGCCTGGTCCCACGGGCTCTGCGCCTGGCCCAGCCCTGAAGGCATTGGGTATTTAGCTGCCAGCTGAGGTCTAGTTGTTATTGCTGGAAAACTGGCTCCCAATTGAGAAAACCAAGGGAGAGAAAATAAGAGCAGGTGGTAGACACGTACCTGCATGGCCTCTGTTCCTCTCATCCCGACCCCAGAGCTGTCACCAGGGCCACCTGCAGCCTGGGTGACAGGAATGAAAGGGCAGTGACTGTGGGGGCTGCTGGGCAGCAGGCTTGCCCTGGACATCCAGACCCGGGTTTTCTCGTCCCACCCTGGAGCCCCACCCCCCTCACGCAGCTGCAGGCACTTCCTAGCCAGGAGGGCCGCGTCCTCCCCAGCAAGGGCAGAGCCGAGCTCGCCCTGAGCACGGCAACGTGAAAACCTCGGCCTCGTCCCCCTGGGGGCCGTGGCTGACATTGAACATCGTCCTTTCCTGTTGCTAGCGCGGTTTTCAGCCTGTGGAGTGGCACCTTCTCTCCTGTGTTCAGGGGAAGAAGCTGGAGATCTGGCCGGACGGGCTGCCCGCGGCGCGGAAGCTGGTTTACCACACGGGCTGCGGCGCTCACGGCACCTGCTGCACCTGCTGGGCACCAGCCACCAGCTCCAGCTCCGCATGCGGCCCGCGCTGCACGTGCTGCGGCGGCGGGAGGAGGCGGAAGGTGGGGCTGCGTGGGCGCTGGGCTCCAGGCAGGGCTGCGCCTTCTGTCTCCCCTGCGCTGTGTGAGGCCTCCTGGCTCCCGCGTTCTCCAGATGCTCAGGTCAAAGGGCGGCTGGTGCCCCCAGCTCTACCCAGAGTAGGATTGTGTAGACGGGGTGGGGGAGGAGGACGGCTCTCAGAGCCGCCTGAGGCTCCACTGCTCCTCCCACCATGTGCCCACAAAGAGCAAGAAGTGCAGGTTCCGACCAGGCCTGGCTCAGCGTTTACCCACAGGCCCGGTCTCCCTCCCCCCTCCAAGTCCTCACCCAGCCCTGCGCGTGCGTTTCTGCCTCCTGGGCTCTTCCTCCTGCGTCAGTGGGTAGGGTCCCTCTCCAGCCGCCCTCACTGCCGTCCCCGCTCCCCGCAGAGAAGCAGCGCTACCGGGAGTCGTACATCAGCGATGGGCTGGACCCCTTGTGGACCCGCCCTCAGGGGTCCAGGGGCTCCCGGAGAAGCCGCCGTTCTCTGGCCCCAGGACCAGTGGCAGCCGCCCTGGCACACATGACAGCCAAGGACCAGTGGGCCCAAGGGGGATGCCCAGGCACCCAGCGGCAATGCCCTGACCTGCCCTCCAGGGGCCAGACCGTGAGGATCGGAGCTGCCTGTGACCTTCATCCCGAAAAATGTGCCAGAACCTGCCGGGAAAAACAGAGGAGGCAGGGAGGAGCTGCCTGCAGCCTGCCATACCTGAGTCCCTTGTCCCCAGCAAAGGGGTACCACAGGCTGGGATAGACACAGGAGCAGTGGGTCCTCTGGGTGCAGATGAGCCCAGGTCCTCGAGCTTTCTTGGAAGTCCATCTCAGGAGCCCCTCCCACTCCTAGGAAGCCCACCCCCACACATAGAAAGAACCCCAACACGTAGGAAGCCCCCCAACTCCTAGGAAGACTCCCCACTCCTAGGAAACCCCCTTCCCTCCCAGGGACCTCACCCCAACACATAGGAAGCCCCACTCCTAGGTTGCCCCTCAGCTCCTAGGAAGCCTCCCACACTTCTAGGAAATCCTCCACTTCTAAGAAGCCCCTCACTCCTAGGAAGCCCCCTGGATTCCTAGAGAACTCCCTGACTCTTAGGAAGCTCCCCCACTCCTAGGACGCCCCCTGAACTCCTAGAGACCCCCCAACTCTTAGGAAACCCCCCCACTCTTAGGAAACCCCGTGGACTCCTAAGAAGCCCCCAACTCCCAGGAAGCCTCCTCACTGTTAGCAGCCCCCCCACTCCTGGGAAGCCCCCACCTACCAGCTTCCCTCCCATCAGGAAGCCTGGGTTAGAGCGGTGTCTTTTTCGCTCAGTTGATTAGGAGTGAGAAGACAGAGCCATTCCCAGAGTCTTCTAGGACCACGTGTCCAGCAGGCCCAGGATGTGGCATTCTGTCCTGGGGGATGCTTCCTGCTCAGCCCCTGTGTGTGAGGCTCTGAAAGCTTCCTTAGTGCCCCAGAAAGGGGACCTCAGCTCTGCTGGTCTCTTGAGTGTTCCCATGGCCTTGACAGCAGATGTGATGAGATCAGGTGGGACCAGCCCTGGGGCTCAGTCACCCAGTGCCACAGATAGCATCACCTGCAGTCACCCAGCGCCACCCAGCATCACCTGCAGTCACCCAGTGCCATATGGCATCACCCAGGGCCACCCAGCATCTCCCAGGGCCTCTCAACGCCACCCAGCATCACCCAGGGCCTCCCAACGCCACCCAGCATCACCCAGGGCCTCCCAACGCCACCCAGCATCACCTGCAGTCACCCAGCATCACCTGCAGTCACCCAGTACCATACAGCATCACCCAGGGCCACCCAGCATCTCTCAGGGCCTCCCAACGCCACCCAGCATCACCTGCAGTCACCCAGCACCATCCAGCATCACCTGCAGTCACCCAGTGCCATCCAGCATCACCTGTAGGTACCCAGGGCCTCCCAACGCCACCCAGCATCACCTGCAGTCACCCAACACCACCCAGCATCACCCAACATCACCCAGGACCAGGTGTTTCTGTCACTAACCCACCGTGTCCACGGTTGCAGTCGGAGTGTCTGGTCCACCAGTAAGGGATGGTTGGCCTCCATCTCTGAGGTTTTACTCTAGCTCTGGGGTCTATAATCCAGCAGGAATCACCGTGCTAATCCCACATCCGCACAGTAAGAGCCCGTTTTAGCAGAGGTCAGGGAACGGAGCGAAAGCAGTCACCACACTGAGGACAAGGGGGCAGTGTGAGCCTCAGGAGAAACAGCGGCCGAACCTGGGCCCCCAGCTCCGCAGGGGACTGCCCTTTGGGGAGAGCCACGTCAGGCAGGACCCAGCCACCTATGCTCACAGCTGCCTCCTCCCACAGCCGCTTGCCGGGAGCCCTGTGCCCATGTCAGGACCAGAGGCCACAGCGCTCAGGTTGTGTACCAGGTAGGATCCCCACCACGGCCAGAAGCCTGGGCTCTGCTCCTCCACCCCCTTCTCCTAGGTCCCCTTGGGTCCCCTAGGGGCCCTTGGGGCCTTCCTAGGCCTATCAGAGGGTCCCTCGACTGAGACCCCCAAGATGCAGCAGGCAAGTCAGGGAGCAAGGCTTTCAGGGACTGAGGCAGGTGGGTGTAGGTGGAGGCCTCAACTCAGGGCCATGTGACCCAGCTTGCTGTGGGGACGGATGGGTCCTGCCTGGGCCTGGGGTGGCCGGGCCCTGAGTGTCACTGGGCCAATGTAGGCAGGACCCGGACACCTGGGCCCTGTGACCTGCTGTGCAGCAGACTGGTTGCCCGACCCCCCC